CTGCACGACATCTATTTCGCCTGCGAGAAACTGGGACATTTTACCAAAACGCAAAGCTATCAACTGGAGACGGCCACCGCACTGTTGGCTAACTTCTTTTGGAACATCTACGATCCGTAAGAGTTGCCTTTGCCTGTGCTATTTATAGGCTTATTTATCCATATCTGTCATATTCCTTTGCAGGCAACGTCGACACTCCATTTCGCTGCTGGAGATCAAGGTGACATTTTTGCTGCTCTGCAAGCTTTACAGCAGCGAGCACATGGTTAGCGACTTCTATAACATGTTGGCGGATGCCAAGTTTCAGTGTGTTTCGCGCTATGCATTCGAACAGCTTCTGCTTACGCTGAGCAAGCTTCTCAGCTATCTGGGCGAGTCGAAAGCCTACGGACCCCACAATTTGCAGCCAATGCTGGAGCAGTCCTTTGCCCGCTGTCCGCACGGCCTCGCCGGCCTTAGCGAGCAGCAGTTTCACAATTTGTGGACGCACACACAGACCCGTTTCCTGATCTATGGAAATCTGTTGGCTCTGATCAAGCGCATCGAGGACACGGAACACTTGATACACAGCAATCAGTGCGCGGGCTGTCGCATGGAGCACATCATTGGCATACGCTTCAAGTGCCAAGTGTGTCGCGATCTGTCGCTGTGCCTGCCCTGCTTCGCCTCGGCCGTGCATGTGAGCGGCAAGCATGAGCCGTCGCATCGCATGTGCGAAGTGTTTGTCGAGGATCAGCCGCAACCGAAGCGCTGGACCCAACACTTGGCACGGCTTTGCAGCTGGTTCCCCTATGCGCAGAAAGGCCAGCGCGCCGATGCCGAGGAGGAGGAGCGACGCGGCTTCTGCAATGCACAGGAAAGCGGCGCTGGCATCGGCCAGCCCAGCAACGCAACCGAATTGGCGCCCATTCCAGCCGAAACGCGCAGCATTCGCAGCAACTCAACGCTGCGTCTCAAAGCGTCGCCAAATGAGAAGCCACAACCTCAGCCCCAGACCCAGGCGCAGCCGCAGCTGCAGCAGCAACCACAACAGGAGCTCTGTATGTTCTTGGAAAAGTATTTCGATGAATTTTTCCAATAACTCTTCCCATACTTTTTACACATTGCAGGCTCCTTAACTGGCCTGGCGAGCAGCGCCTCGGAGCGCTTACAATCCATTATCGATCGTGTTTTACTGCAGAATGTGTGAGTAATAAAATGCATAATACCTTTGCAACAGCTTGTCACACTAATTTCTTTCGTTACTGCTCGCAGCAAACTGGAGATGCAACTGAAGCAGCTGCCGAGCGCATCGAGCGCCCAAATATGTGATTTTCTGAGCGCCCATCAAAGTTTCTTGCTGCAAATAATTGAGGACATGCGACAATTATCGGTGAGCCATCTATATATATATGAATCTGATCACATATATCTGATCATTTGTTATGCTTGCAGCGCGCTTCGTCTGCTGCACCGCTGATCAGTTCGACTTTCCTCAACGCCAGCACGCCGCATCGTTCGTCGCCGCCAGCAGCAAAAACTGCATACGATATGTACGCACCTGTGGGCGCCAATTTAACGCATTCAAGTAACTATTGTAATATATTGTGATAACTTACAAATTATAACGGCAAACTCCTTTTCCTTAGTCAATGGCGCTGAGCTGAATCGCAGCTACTTGGAGGCCAACAAATCGGATTACTCACTGAGCGACATTAGTTTGTGGTTCGATCAGCGACGCTCCAGCTTGTTGCCCTCGGCTGCCAACAACATGCAGCAGCATCAGCAGCAACAGCAGCAGCAGCTGCCACTGGGCGCATTGCTGGAGCAGTCGGTCAATGTGGATATGCGTGATACGGAAATGGTCAACTTCAAGCTGCTGCTGAACAAGGTCAAAGAGATTGTCGAGGACTCGTACAGCGACAATGCCGAGCTCTCGGCGGCTACACAGAATCTGGAGAATGTCCTTGACAATATCATCAAAGTCGAGGAGCAACAGAGGCGCAGCAGTTGCAGTGCTCGAAGCTCACGAAACTTTTCGGAAAAGCTCTAAGCTTTCGATATCTACATCTATATATATTTTTATATACCCGAAGTTTTCCATAACAAGATTCATTTGAAGTGCTTTAAATTAGTTTTAAGTTGTGTTGTATATAAAATTGTAAATGTTTCTTAACAATTTGTGCAATCCTGCAAATTGCTTAAGAGGCAAGTGTAATGCAAGTGTAATCCTAGAAATCATATATGACATATATATATATTCCTATTCAGGATATGCTATTCATGTATAAAAGTGTCCGTCCAAGCTGAAAGTGTTATTCTTTTATATATAATTAACTAAACACGAAACAAGTCTCTACTGTGTAATAAATAATAAGTGCCCGCATATATTGTATACAAAATGATGTTTTAATAAAAAATAAAACAAAAATATATTCTAATGAACACCCAGTATTATATGTTGCCCCAAGCAGCTAGCTAGAATCTAACTGCATTTGGGTCTTTATCACAGTTATTAGCGAATCGCTGGCCATTTCCAGTTGATGGAGGCGCTGAAGCTGCGCTCGCTTTGGTTGCAGCTGCAGCAGCTCCGCTCTGGCTTGCAGCTCGTCGCGCAGCGCGGATTCCAGGAGTAGCGCTGCATTTGAGGGCGCACTGCACGTCTCTGCCTGCAGGTCGAGCAGCGAGAGATTGCAGTGCAGCTGCAGGAGATCCCGCAGCAGACGGCGCAGCAGAAGGCAGAGCTGCGTCTCGGTGCTGGCATAGAGCTGCCAAAGCTGGCCAGGATTATTGCGCAGCAGAAGCAGCTGCTTCGGGCCATTATAGAAGATACGCTGTGTAGATGCAGTGCAGCTGCTGTTGCTTTTTATATTGCTATGGCCAAAGGCAAACTCCTGCTCCCCACCAGAGTCATCCAGCAGTTGCACAGCTGTGGAAGAGAAACAGATTCCATAGATTTGCCTTATTTAAAGGACATAGTTGGGCTACTCACAATCCCTCCGCTGACGTTGCTGCTTCTCCTGCGGCACAGCCGTGGTCACAAAGTTGAGTTTGGTCAGCAGCAGCTCCTCGAATTGGGTTTGCTGTTCGACGTCCTCGAACACTAGTCGCAAAGCGCAGTGCGCAGCCTGAGTCATGATCACGGCGAGAAAGTCCTGATGCAACGTTCGCGGCGCAAAGGTCGGCACATGCAGCTCCTGCTGCTGCAGCAAGGCGGCCACATTAATACTGGCCAAATGCAGTTGCATTTGGCGCCGGCTTTCGTTCTGCAGCTCGTACAAGGCAAGTAGATCTATGTTGTCCAGCATTAGCAAATCCTCCAGCTGCAGGCGCGCCAGCAGCACGACGCTGCGCTCAGGTGGCAGCTGGTCAACACGGGAGGCGGGCTGCCAGCTTAAGGCCGAGTTGCTCGACTGTTGCTCCTGCAGGGCCCAGAATTGGGCCAGCTGATCGTAATCCTCCGGCGGCTGGCCATCAGCCTGCAACGGCAGCTCGTACAGTCGATACACGTAGTTTAGGCCAGGACCCTGAGGCAGGCGCAGCAGCGGACGCAGAGCATGCAGCGTGCTGTTGCAATTGCTGCCGGCGGCATTGGTCAGGAGGATGCCGAGCACCAGAGAATCGCCGCAGATGCGTGTCCATATGTCGCCGCAGCGTCGCAGCAGCTGCTTCTCCTCCAGCAACAAAGAACGCTGCCCCGGCACGCCGAAGGCCTGCAGCTCGCGTGACTGCATAAAGTCCAGCTGAGTTTGGCTGCGCTGCGAAAGCAGCTCGGCGCGTGCGCAGTGGACGCGCTGCATCAGGCGCTTGAAACCAACAACACTGCTGCCGCTACCAGTTGGAGGACTCTCTGGCGCCTCATTTCCTTGAAAGTTAGTGCGCAATCGCTTGCCATTAGTGAACTGGAGCTCCACATAGGCCTGATACTTGATAGGACCTCTGACCAGACGGTATTCCTGCAGATTGTCGTGCTCCGATATTAACTTAAAACTAGCGCCTTGCTCGACCGGTCGCTGCAGCACGAGCAACGTCTGCCAGCACTGGAGCAGCACGTAAATGTGCTCACCCAGCCAAACGTATTTGCCTATGCTCAGGGGCAGATCCTCGGGAGCGTGCAGCATGTTGTAACTGGTTGCATCGCCGCTGGTGTCGGCCACATCATCGCGTATGAGAAATCTACTGAGCGGTCCATTGTACGATCTAAGCTCCGTCGCCAGCTGCTCTAGGCTCGATTCTTTAAGATCGATGTAGTGCAACAACTCCTTTTTGCGAAATTCATAGAACTTAAGATTGCGTCCTAGCACAAGGCTAGATTTGGATTTCTGGACATGCAGCTGACTGCAGTAGGCGACTGTATCACGTTGTAAGAGAAATTCGGGCACATCCTCTTCGACAAGCGGAAACATGTTAAATGTAAACAAAAAGAAAACAAAAACAAAAAAACGCTAAATGTGCTGTGCTAGAGATGAGTAGTGCAAGTGATATTCACTGCAGTGAATATCGATAATTACCTATAAATCGCGAGTCAGTCATTACCCAGCACTACTCTTAATTTTAAATGTAAACAAAAAAGTAAAAAACAATAACAAAACCCGCTAAATATCGTATGCTGGAGATGAACAGTGAACTGATATTCACTTCGATATTTACCTATCAAACGCTGATCAGTCATTGGCCAGCACTGCGAATGCAATTGTTCAATTATTACTGCTGCAGTTTCCACTTTATTCACTTACTCACTTGTTACTTGTTAATTTCAAATTTTAGCGAATTAAATTTCTTTCTATTCCTTAATATGCACCTTTAAAAAATGCAATCGCAACAATTATTTGTTTACTTCCGATATATATCGATATAACCCGCACAAGGAATTGAATTCTAACGGCTAATTTTTTTTTTTTTTTATTAAATTGTAAATTGCATACATTTGCTTACAACTATAAAGTACACGATTTAAACAAAAAATAGGAACAAGACTGTAGTTAAAAAAAAAAGATTGACAAAAAAATTGGTACTTAGTCCACATCACAAGGCGGGCCACTTTGAGTGCCCCCTTCAGTCACCCGAAACGGATTCCTCGATTGCAACTTAAATCAACATTTGTTCACGTGAGCCAAGAATTAATGGCTTCGGCTGTGCTCCGCCAGCTGTTAGAACGAGGGAGCGTCGCATTGCACGATTGCGTTGCATGCTGCTGTTGCGCTCGCGCACCGATTGCCGCAGCTGCTGACGACGCGCTGCCACCACGCTGGCTGAATCCTTCTCCGCAGCATTCATGGCCGCCAGCAGATCAAAAGCAGCTCGCTTTTGCTCCTTGGTCCACATGTTGTTGAACTGCTGCTGTTGCTGTTGTTGGGACGGCAGTTGCTGCGTAGCTGGCAGCTTAACAGCCAAGGGCGGGCGTCGCTGCGGTTGCGTGGCTGCAGCAGGAGCTGGAGCTGCTGCTGTTGCTGTAGATTTGGCAGGCGCCTTGCTCACTCGACTCAGCCCGAACAGTGACAAAATGGACTTGCGACGCGTGCTAGAGGCCTGACTCTCGGCAGACTCATTACTGGAGACACTAGTCTGCATTGGCAGCACAGGGGGAGCAGGAGGAGCACCAGCTGACTGCTCCGGCCCAAATTTGCTGCATTTGGGCGGTGATTGAAATGTCACCTTACGCAACGTGCTGCTCTGGCTCTGCAGCTGCAGCTGTTTGGGCGCCGTCATCAGGGCCAGATTCATTTTGGCCACCGTTGGCGACGTCTCGTTTAGCTCAATGCTGCAGTAGGTGTCATCGTGGCGTTTGGCCAGCGGCTTGCGTGGTGGCACGGGCGGCACCATCTGGCAAGTGCATAGTTTCTGTGGCTGTGACTGTGCCTGCATCTGCGCCTGCGCCTGCTGCTCCACCTGCTCCAACTTAAGCCGTAGCTCGCGTTCCATTGCCTTCACGCGCTGCTCGGCCGCCGCCAGCTCATTAGCGCGCTGCTCCAGTAGCGACTCCTGAGCCCGTATGGCATGCATACGCTTCTGCAGCGCCTCGTCGAATATGTTCTGGGTGATGCGTTGGGGACTATGCTCACGCTTGATGCTCTCGTAGAGCGATGGATCCGACTTGAGCAGCTGCCTACTGCCGAAGATGCGACGCTTAGCCGAGTAGAAGAGCTCGTTGCGCAAATCGGGCGTAAAAACGCCCGTGACGCTCAGTCGCCGCTGGCCATAGCCCTCATTGAAGCTATACTGCTCCGTGAAGAGCGTGCTGGACAGTTCGGGTGAGTCGGGAAACAGCTTGCCCGCACCGGGCAACTGGAAATCCTCGCCAGCGTCCACGAGACGCGGAAATTCAGCTGGCAACTGGTTAATGTTCCGCACCAGCAGTGGATGTCGTGTGATTACCTCAATGCCCGGTCGTTCCTCATGATCGACGGCCAGCATAAAGCCAATGATCGACTGCAGATCGGCACTGTAGACCGCCGGAATGCAGCTGAACTGGCCATGGGCGATATTCTCCGAGAGCTGTTCAAAGGCACGTCCCCGGAAGGGCGGACGCAATGCACACAACTCGTAGATCAAGCAGCCCACAGCCCAGACATCGCTCTTGCGGTCGTATTGCCGGCCCTTGACCAGCTCCGGGCTCATGTAGTGCGGCGTGCCCACAAAGCTGGCCGCAAAGCTCTGATCGCGCCGTAGGACACGCGCCAAGCCAAAATCACCGAGCTTCACATTCCCACAGGCATCCAGGAAGATGTTTGCCGGCTTGATGTCCCGATGCAGAATTGTTCCACTGGGTATCTTGTTGTGGCACACCTGCAATGCACGGCACAGCTGGAAGAGCACGCGCCAGATGTACGGCTCCTCGAAACGCTTTCGCTGTGAGCGGGCACGCTGTATGAGCTGGGCGAGATCACCGCCGTCGCAGCACTCCATGACAATATAAATGGACTTGGCCTCGCGATTGACCAGGTGATGATAGTACTGCACAATATTGGGATGCTGCAGCTGTCGTAGAACGGTTATCTCGGATATAAGAGATTCACATTTCTCATCGTCCAGCTCATCGTAGTTCATGCCCTTCCAGGCGTAGAGGACGCCAGTGGTCTTATCCTTCACCTTGTAGCAGGTGCCGAAGGCTCCGTTGCCCATCACGGCCAGCACCTCGTAATCCTGCAGCGTCTTGTTTGCAAACTCTGAGGTGGATTTCATTGCCGAGTCGCCACCTTCGACCTGCTGTTCTTTGCTCATCTTGGGGCTGTGATTTCCAGTAGAGGAGCAGTTGCTATTTATTTATATCCAAATACTTTTTCCAATTCTCAGTTTCTACTGCTCCGCGCTCCCGTTCTGTTTGCTTTGAATACCGAAAACTAACTGATTTCATGGCTTTGCTCCTGCAAACAAGTTTTTCGGCAAAATCACGCACACACACACACTGATACAAAGCGCATGCGCACCCACACACACAATTTTACCTGCGAAAAACAACAACAGCACGTATACCAAACAAGTGTTGCATATTGCCTACACAATAGAGATGAGCGGCAGGCGCAGACGTGTTACTGCGACCGGACGAAGCGCAGATAAACACAAGAATATCACGGGGAAGAATATGTATAAATAAATATCATATAAGTATATTCAATTTAGCAAGAAATGATAATAATAATTTAAGTAAGTTTAGAATCTCGCTCTATCCGAGTTTAACTTTATTTAAAAATCACTCACACACGTACATACACAATAGTCACAGTAACAGGCACATCTCGTGGTGAGCCTCAAAAATCACAGCGCTGCTCATCACTAGTTGCATATCTTGTTACGTTCCTAGAAGGTTGTCGCTATCGCTGTCGCACTCGTACAGACACACACACACGTTGAGAAAGAGAGAAGGGGACGACTGCGACAATAGTACACACTTTGCCAATCTTGCACGCTGCGCCGTCGCTCTGTTGCCTTGAGCCTGTGTACAAATAAAAACCGTTGGATGTGGATTGATGGCTATGTCTAAGGACATGGGTCCTTTGGCACAGCACGCCCGCAATTTTAACAATTGTCTATGCTTGGTGACCATAAAAATAAATTAGTTTTGTTGCATTGGTATTTCAATTTGTGTGTCTGTTGTTTCGCTCGGTGTCTGCGTTTGCGCCGCTCAAACGGATTATGTTACACAGCCACACACACATAGACAAATGTCTATTTGTGAGCTTAGTTATTATGAATTTCAATATGATATTTTTCATTCAGCAAAACTCGCAGCCGCTTTAAATCCTAACGGATTTTGCGCATAAAAACACCATACTTGTGCTATCTCGCTTGCACGCAAGCTGCAATATTTATGCTAGCTGTGATTTTCGTTCCTATGCGTGTGTGTGTGAATGCCTGTGTGTGTGTGTCAGTACCAGGTAGAAGACTAAGTAAACGAGTTATCTGTGGGCTTATCGTTGGCCCGTGTGTTGATGGTTTTATGGTTTTTCATGTCTAAAACAAACAATGGCCAAAAGAAACAGGCAGCGACGTAATCCTTAACAAACAAATCTCGCTACGACTGGCCCACGGTCCGCGGTTTGTGTTTATTGCTTACCATTGTTTGTGCACAAACCAGTGTTGCTAAATCCTTTAGCTTGACGTCAAATTTGGCTAGCAGAAGAGATGGGCATATTTGAAAAAGCTAGACAGCGGTAATTTGAGTCACTTTTGGTAGTTTTTAATTCTTAATTTTAGAAAGAAACAGTTGCCGAATTTTCATCTCATTCTAAAAAATCTAGCATGAATTTCCACAGCTCTAGGCAAAATTAGCATAACTGCCATTGCTAACCTGCTGCGGCTAAAAATTTGTCAGCACTGGTAGAAGCCACCGCAAGATGTTAGGTCAGCCAGATTGGCTTGTAATGATTTCTGGGTTTCTGGACATACATACACTGCCAGGGGCGCAGGTACACAAGCACGTAACAAAAAAAAATTCCACTTAATAAGCCATAGATCACATTTTCAAACATTTCACATAGCCATATTACAGTTTATTTTAACGACAGTGAGAAAAAAAATTAGTTGTGATTCTAATGCCTAATCACCAAGACGGTGGCCTGTCCTCGCTGCCAGGGCGGCCATAGAGAGCACTCTTGTCTCGGAACATGGTCATGCGTTCCGTTTCCTTCTTGTCCAAGAAGTGACCGATCGCAAATCCAAGCAGAGGCAGTGCTGCCCACAAGGCACGTTTGTCCAGACCGAGAACCATCTTTAATGTTGATTTGTTTAGCCTTTAGCTTTGACTCTTCAGCGCCGCGCTTTGTGCTGCTAAATGTTGTTGGCGCTTCCACTCGCGTGTATGGGACCAATCAGCGTAAATGGAGCCGACTGTAACAGTTGGAAAGAATATCACTGCACCGTACTTTCGCGCCAGATGCGAGATGATGCCACTGCCCATATGTATGTGTCTTGGTCAATGCGAATGAAACTGTAAACAGACAAGTAATGAGTGCAACAACAAGAACGTGTTAAAAGTCTGCGATTTTATTATTTGTTTTCTTGGGTTACGTAATGGAAATGCATGAAACACCACAGCCAATCTCATTTGACTGTATACGATGAAAACAATTGCTTACTGTGCACGCACTCGCGTCAAGTGCGTATTAGTTTCCTAATGACCTTAATGAGCTTTGTTAAAAAATAACCGAAGCCTATGTTGTTATTAACTTACGCTTATGCAAAAGCCTTGCCGATTAGAGATGTAAGCCTTGACGATATATCGATATGGTACATAACAAATATTCATTTGTCATATTTGACAAACAAATATCGATAGGTTTCTTATCCGATAGAATTTTTCCATTCGCGCATCACAGATTGAACCAAAAACAGCTGATCGTACAGATGGCAATCCAAAGTTCAAATCCGTTTCGTTTTTGTTTACATCACTCTCCCTTATTAACCTATTAGTTGATGATTCTCGCGGAAATATGCCTGAGCAAAGCTCACGTCATAGGCTCTCTAACAAGGAGTCGTTGGCTGCAGCAACTAATATGTTGTCAAACGAGAAACAAGAGTAGCAATGCAACAGCTGCCAACGTAAAAATTTTAACCGCTGACGATTTTTCGGTACTTCTGGGAGATGAGCAACGACAACGGTGTATGGATCTGCTACGCAAGTTGCCGCCTTTTTCTCGTCCTAAAATGTTGCCGCACAACAGGAATGAGAAAAGTTCAGCCTCGGTACTAATAGCTTTATGCCAGGAGCGCGACACGTAAGTAAGCATATTTACGATTGCTTTCTTAGGCATTTAATGAAACTCAAATCACATAGGAATGAAGTTTCATTGTTGTATACCCGCCGCTCACGGCACTTGCGTAGCCACAGTCTGCAGATATCATTTCCGGGTGGCAAACGGGATGAGACTGACGAGAGCTACGTTGATTGCGCACTGCGCGAAACGGAGGAAGAGATTGGTCTGCCGCGAGAACGCATCCACATTTGGGGAGAAGCCAATCCCATAATACTACCACGCACCGCCGCCATCGTACCAGTTGTGGGCGTGGTGCCCGATTTTCATGTGTCCGAGCTGAAGCTCAACCTGGACGAAGTGGAGGAGGCTTTCAGCATACCGATCAACACACTAATCTCTCCAGCAGTCGCACGACACACGCAATTTCGCAGCGGCTACAGTAATCCCGTCTTTGTGGTGGATGAGCTGCGCATCTGGGGAGTCACGGGCTACTTGACATATTTCTTTCTGCGCTGCCTGCTATCCAATGCGATGCCCCAAACGCTTAAAACGAATATCAAATATATACGACCCTATAAATTGCCGCCTAAACTACCTCATCATCACGTAGAAGTTAGAGAGTGAACGGGCGGGAATGCTCGAAAATACTCAAACGGAAAATTTGTCTAGAATGTTTTTGTTGTTGAATGTGTTTGTATGTAATATAATTGATGTATATAAACAAGGTGTTAATTTAATAATAAAAAAAAAGAATAGACAATATGTTTAATTATAGACCTGTCTCTCTCTCTCCTTGCATAAAGCTTGCTCTTCTATGCAATTCTCAATCAATCATAAGTCAACGGCATTGTTTTAGTTGTTATTGCTATAATTGGTTTAATTTGAATTTACAATTGTGTCCATATAACATATGAATATATATATGTGTATATATCCACATAGATGCCTAACAAAATTTGTTTTGTATAATTTCATGTGTGTTTCTTCTACAAGTACGCACAATTTGTTTATTTTATATACTTCTTTCTGCTATAATAGTGTTAACATTTATATATATATGCAATAAATATTTGAGTATATTATATTTACATATTGTTTCAACGTCAGAATCCTAAAGCTAATGGAAAACTACTCTTGAGAGCTTGCAGCCGGCTTCAGCGTAGCCCCATCGCTAGCAATTGCGATCGCCATCGAATTTGTATTTAAATTTGAACTTGCATTTGGATTTGTCGTGGAAGGAACGCTACAATCGTGCACTTGTGCCGTAACGGTCGTATAACAGGAGCCGCAAAGTCTTACTGGATTAAAAAGCTTTTCGTATGGTAAAGGCGCCCAGAATTCAGAGCAGTCAGCACAGAAAATTTCGCCACATGATCTGAAAAGAGAGATAAATAGAGAATTTTTGATTTGATATTGATCTCGATGGATTTTGTTAATACACTAGTTAAAATAGACGTGTTAATTCTGTTGTTTGATCAAAAAACAATCGCAAATTGAACACAACCATATTTAGCATTGAATAGGATATGTTAATCTGAGTTTATTACAAAATGAGCAAATATTTATCACAGCCAATCTGACATTAGTTCAGTATTTATTTGCAATTTACTTTCACTGTCCTCAAATCTGGCATCGTCGTCTTGTTGCGAACCAATGCTAGAACAATAAAGCACAAATAAAGGACCTAATGATAGCAAACTGATAATTGAGCGAAAAGCTTTGCTGATGATGAAAGTAAAGTATGGTAAAAATATAATAATAATAATATACTGCATTGAGAAGATAAGATACGATAAGATATTAGTTACGAACTGCTGCCAGATTGATTGCTTAGAAATGGCTGTTGGCCCATAGGGTAAGGGTGTGTGTGTGACTAAGGTAACTAAGACATGTTATGAACATAATACAGATACAGGTACAGGACAAATTAAAAAGAATATGTTGAAATGCGCACCGACAATGATGTTTTCTTCGTCCAAGCCAGAACTCAATTTGACAATTCGAGCAACGCGAAACGGCATGATCGGGCACCCAGAGGACACTGGAAGCCTTTTTCTCTTGTATCGTGGATGTGGCATACGATGATGGACCACTACGCTCTTCAACGGCTTCCCATGAACATGTTGATGCATTTTCAACAATATCCGATCCGTTTTCCTAAAGAAATGTAAATAATTAGACCAAACAACGAAAAACGAACACAAACCATTCACATGACAATTTCGTTGCCCCCGAATCAACATTTAGATCTAAAGTGTTTAGCCTAGATTTATGCAATTACAATTCCCGAAACTATCCAGCCAGAGTTGAACTGTTGACATGACATGTGGTAAGTGCGCAGATATGGCTGGACATATTCATCTCATTTTGTGTTCACTATGAACAAATTTACAAACATCCATAATATTGTTATTTCATGTTTGCATATTTGTCGCACGTTATTCGTATAGAAGTTATATAACATTTAATGGCATAATTACATGCTCCACATTTGTCGATACGACGCTGTTGCAGCTTGGACAACCTTTTTGTAGCAGCGCCAAACGCATTCCGTGAATTTCGCGCAAAAGAACTTCCTCGCGAAGCTGGAGCAGAATAAATAATATATAGATTAGCGATTTGCATTACATACAAGTGCCATAGAAATATATATATGAGAACCTTGTGCTCTTGAACGATCTGATGTAGGCGTATGTTCTGCTCACTTAAGCAATGGGACAAGCCATCTGGGCAGGATATTGTAAACTGTGTTCGCTCTTGCGAGCCTTGCGGGGTCGGAGGCAATGATATAAGTCCAGACGCCGGGAAGTTAAGTGCACTGTAAAATGTATATAGAGAATGCATTAGTTGGCTACATTTAAGGAGTTCCCATTTCCAATATTTACCTAACGTTTTCTGCATATTTCAAATGCGTATGCTCCCGATTGAGATTCGACCAGAGCGTGTTTCTTCTGCTTGCCGCCGACTCATCAAAGGGCGCAAACATGTTATGCGTTTGCGAATTGCATCGATGATGCTCAGGTGATAGCGGCAGGGATTCGCTGGTGTTGCTGCCATTGTTTAAGGTAACTGTTCCATTTAAGATATCTTTTGTTGCATTCGCCTCCTTGCTACTCTCCCCGTTCGCTGTCTTGTGCCCTTCCAACGGCTGCTCGAATGCATGGCTTTTCTCCAAAGTTGTTGCGCTGGCGTTCTGTTGAAAGTATCTCAGATTGTTGGGCTTGATGTGAACTCGAGGCAAATTGCTATAGCTTTGACTAATTTTATTGGTATGCGCAACGGTCGTTGCTTCGGTCTTTTTTTCATGAGGTATGACATCGGCATCTTGTTCTGAAGGCACGTCGCTGTCTTTATTTGGATCTTGCGACACCACAAGCGTCTCTTGCTGGGTCGCTTCTATAGGAATTAAGGTATCCGTACTAGTATCGATTTGGCCACGACTCTGACACAGAGTCTGGCTCTTATCACTAAAGCTTTCACAGATGGAGGGAGCATAGTCTAAATATTTGAAAATTTCAATTAATCAATAATAGATAAGGCAACTGATTTACAGCTAATTAACAAACCATTTGGGGAATCACAAGGGGTATGTATTGCTAAGTCAATGGGCTGGGAGTCCATGCGCTGAATGGTGATCTTGCCATTTATGGATGCAGAACCCTCGCTCAATGTATCACGTTGAACTGCTGCAGTGCTTTGGTCATTGTTTTTGAACTCAGTTAACAGTTTTGCGGAACCATTTTGTGCATGCTCCGCCAGCTTTGGACTATCAACTGAATCGCTGTCCAATTTGACATCTGATTTCGCATCGATTATGCACTCCTTTGGCTCCAGCCGGATATCAAACATGGAATTGCTGCTCGTATTCAAATTGATTCCCTCCGTTACACTGCAAATATTGAACATTATTATCAATTCAGTAGTTCAGTAATTTTATATCGTATATGTATGTACATTGAATCCACGGTCAGATTGGGATCACTTGATCTTCTCGATATCGTACTCTGTGAGAGCTCGTTTGTGGCAATGTTTTCTGTCGAACGAGTTTTCACTGTCGCTCCTAAAATAAACAAATATATGTATGTATATCAAATTAAAATATAAAAATATTTATCTTCATTTACCATTCACGCTGTGAACACTTTGCCGCTCATTGCTTTGCAAGGGAAGATCGGTGCCGTTTTTATTGCCCAAATTGCCGAGATATACATCGGACCAGAAGTGCAAATAGCGCACATTGTGCGCCGGCCAAAGTACCTGAAATGAACGAATTGAAAAATCAAGCTATTCGATAATTAATTGCAGTTGAGTTCACCTTTTCAGTCTCGTGTTTATAGAGCGGATTTCTATACATCGTTTCGGCTAAGAATGGCCACACAGAGAATGTTCGGTCGAAAACCGAATTCTCAATTCGTTCTTTCAGTGAATTGCATAGGAACGTGCCAAACAGACATGACTGTGAGTGCTGGGCGAGTTTTATCTGAAAATATGAATTATAGCTCAATTAGTCAATTGCTCTTGGCTAGCAAATCCAATCTGCTTACCAAATAACCCGTGCTAAACTCAAAGCTGCACGGATATTGCTTGTGTATTTGGTGCACCAGATCGAGCCACTGCAGAAACACTGGACAACGTTCATTCACCTCATCCGAATTGGGGCCATTACCGGAACGATCCGCAAACTTGTGCCCGAAATTCAGCCATTCACGCTCCACCAGAACACGGAAACCCTAAAATTGTAGATACATTTAATATAGCCTCTAGGCAATCTATTAAAGTTTCAACCTACTTCAACAGTTCTATAAAATGGATCCAGGCAAAGTTGGGCCGTTGCCACAATTTGGGGCGTACGATCCCAGCCATCGGAGCAGTGCACCAGAACTGGACGACCATTCTTCTCAATCGTATGCACGACAGTCATTGTGGCGCCCAGCAGACCCGACAGATGTTGCATCCACATCGTTTTCTCCAATTGCCCGAACCAACTGTCAGGTAGAAGTTTGTTAAGTACACATTGCTATAATATATGTATAAATAATTACTTTGGATCGTCGGGTGAAGATGCACACAACTGGCGAACGGCGTGAAAACTCTTTCGTATGGCATGTATATTGCCCAGATTCATGAATTCGATTTCGGCGCATGGATAGTATTCAATACATTCACAGCCGCCGCCGCGTGCCCGATTTGTGACGGCCGACGTATAGCTGCGTGCATCGACGATAAGAATTTTCTAAAAATATAATTGAAAGTGCTGATTAATGGTTGATTATGTGACAATAACCGTATATATATATATTTAAATATATATTTCTTGTTCTTCACTTGGGATGACATGATGGTGAAATTCAACTTAAGCTTACCCTGATTTCATCTAAGGCAAGCTCCTCGTGCGAGGAGTCCTCCAGTGAGGGAGAGCTCTTGCCCGAGGATCCAGCCTCTCCATTGGTATCCTTGGCCTGTCGTCGCGCATGTTCACCCCGATCGAAGGCACAGGCATCGGCAAGCGCTTTCAGCAGCTGCTCGTCCTTGTAGTTTCGCCAGCCCAGCCAGCCGACCTCCGGCTGACTGCAACGGGCCAGAATTGCGCCAGATTTCTGATGGCGCCAGACGACGGCTGGCAATCGGCGCGATCCACGAAAATTGGCAACATTGTGGAGCATTTCGTCGGTAATGCAGCACGGAACAAGTAGCTTTTGCGGATACGAGGGACAGAGCTTGAAGTCAGCATTCGCCGTCGAGATGCGCCACGATCCCTTCAAATCGAATCCCAGCCGTGCAACCTCATTCTTGAAGTCGCTCTCATACCGAATTTCCCGCTGTAAGCGATGTAAATGTTCGCTTGCCGTCTGCAGACTTGAACTATCAGGCGCTGGTGTCGATTTGAAGTTGCCGTTTCCGTTGCCGTTGGTCAGAGTGGCGCGCTCTTTGTTCCCAATAATGTCGCATGTCCAGGAGTAAAATGGAAATGCGAACATTGTCTCAAGCGTTTCGGGCACACCAATTAACAGTTGAATGCGGCGCTGCCACTCCAGGCATTGCTCCGCCGTGGGAAACGAACAGCGGACGGTGCTGGCATCTTTGCAATTGACAATCAGCTGGAAGGGATCACGCACCTGCACCGACTCAATCAATCCGAGCGGCACATAAGTTTCATTCGTTGATTTCTTTGAGAGGCATATGCGGTAATTGGACAAAGCTAAGACACCATCATCGGTGCGGCCCAGATATTTGGTTGACTCGCCGGAAACTAATTAATCGGAAATTCGATATTATTTATTCATGTATCAATTATAAATATTTAACCAGCTTACGCTCTTGAAAGGGAACCGACAGCTGCGAGTCTTCCTTCTCCATTTGTGATTTTGGATATGATTCGGCGGCTCGAATGAAACAAATCGATGGGGGCGGCGATCCATCTGACATCATGTGTTGCGACTACAATAAAAGATTCAATTAGTGCACAAATACAATCACGAAAGCCCCCACACAATCACAAACAGTCACAAACATGCATATATATGTTTGTATATACAAAATACTTATAGATTTTACTCATAAGACTTATGCATATACATATATAGCGCGAGTTCGAACACCTGAGATCCTCTCAGGGTTACTATTTAAATTAATTGTTGCAGCGTAGCAATGGAAAAATTTCGTACATAAATTGTTTATGCGTTTATGACACCAGTTAAACAGGACGTTGCATACATATAAACACACACGCACACACATTTGTACATGCACACGTATGGACATACATACTTATATCTCGAAACGAGAACTCAAGGCAAAGCAATTAAATGCAAAATGTTTCAAACATCCAAACACCTTATTAGCAGTTATACTAGATATGAACAAATACAATTTTTTGTGTGTGGTGGTTGCCAGTGTAGATAATAAGTATATATGTAGGTATTTTTATATACATACATATGTATGTACTTTTGTACAAATACACACATACATTTTAATACAATTGCGTATAATACGCAGCGTTCTATTATGCACATACATGCATATATATGTATGTATATGTGAATTGCATATTGAATTTTTTTTAAACAATTTTATTTGAATTTTCGCTGAGTCCTTGCCGTTGGACGTATGCCAAGCAAAAAAAAACAAGGAAAAAAGTAAATAAATATGTTTTATAAACAAAGTAATTAGGCACTAGCACACAAACACTTAAACCTGCGCTTGAGTATACATACATATACATATGCACGATTCCACAATATTTATAAAACAAAAACACCAAAACAAACATACATACATTGCTGCGATGAACACCTTTAGATAACAATTGTGGTTAGTTTCCTGATATTTGCACTAAATTCAAATGACCCGTTTTTGCGGTTTCCCTCTTTATTTAGCACCATAAACTCCATAAACGTCAGCTATTATAAACAAAGATTCGCAGATATTGTTGCTTATGCATATGTCGATGTACAATAATTCACATACATATAAATAGGTATTCGTTAACAAACCGACTACTTTTGTGATTTACAAAAATCGAATACTTCTTAATCGTTATCGAACTGACTTGGCAATTTGAATTTGCTGGCTTAACTCTAAATTTGCCTCTCAAACTACGGCCAATTGGGTTTTCTATGTCAATAAGATTATTACAATTATCAGTATGAATTTATTTTTACAGTATGCACTTAGTTAGATATGTTAATGCGTTATTGCTTTTTACATGTATTCCATGAAACAATATTTGCTGTAATATGTTAACCGCTTGGTAAATATAATTATGGCTTATTTTATTAATTATAAGGTTTTTTTTATTCGAATAAAAATAAATAAACAATTAGCTTGTGAAGTCGCGACTGGAATATAATCGTTACACAAAACGAATACTTTTCTGCATGGGTACTTATATTTTCTAGCATTAGCCAACACTATACGATAATCAACGAAGTTGTTATAATTATTATATATATAGATACGTCGTGACTGCGTTTTCATTCCACCTAATGTAAAAGTGTATTAAAATTTAATAAATTAGTTTTCAGTAGTTTATAAATATTGGCCCAGCCTGCCGCCCACAGCACCAACATGACCGAATCCATAAAGTCATTACTGGTCTCCTGTTTAGCCATTGTTGCGGTAAGTCGACGTGTTCTACCCGCACCCGCTCGAATCAGAGCGACTGTGAGTCGGCCGGCTAAGACGTGGAAATATCTCAAGCTTGTTTGGACAATGATCAGTGGCCAATGACCAAAGTGACATGCTACAAATGAATCAATACCTGTGAATCAATACAAATTCGAGCTCAGTGGAACATGATCAGCTAATGAATGAATGGTTATTGTTTTCTGCCTTATGCTAATTTCAGGTTCTACATGTCCTTTACCAGCCAACAGATGCGACTGGTGGTGCGTTGCCTCTGACCAGTGAAAATATTGATATGACATTAGGTAAGCCGATAATGATAGCACCTGCTGCAACATAAACATAGCTAGAGCAAGTGCAGTAAAAGCCGCATGGACTATATACATACATACGCACACACATACGCACATCCAAGCATATTTACTTAATATCTCAGCTGGTGCACCAATACGCATGCATACATACAAACAGGCTCACGCACACGCACACTCAAACGCACACGCACTCACACATACGCCTCCATTTGTGCACGAGCTTCGGTGCGTGCGTGTGTGAGTGTCGCTTGACGTGTCACAAATTGAAAATCTGAAGCTCGATAAATTTCACAGAATTTGCCAGCGTGGTACGCTGCTCCAGAAATATATTCGTTACGCTCACAAAACGCAATAAACTGCAATTAGTCACAGTCAATTTGACATTCGAGTGAGCACAGGTAAACAGCATACTAACTGTATGTAAATATATATGTAATTAGAACTTTCATTTAACTTTGCTGCATGATCAGTTGCTATCCGGTGTCCTTTAAATTGAAAGTGTGTTTTCGTCAATATTTCGCACTGAGTAAAGAAAACCCTAACCATTTCACACTTGTTATTAGTATAGCTAATAGTAATTCTTATCAGTTAACCAGCATAGAAAAGTCTAAAAGGTATAATTACACGCCCTGCCACGGGCTGATAAGATTAATTGATGTTGGTCCAGAGCCTCTGCTACTCTATTAATGTGTTACAATACAGACAGAATATTATGTATATCTACTTATCTCATACTCTCATGTCCATTATCTTTTAGATAAAGTTGCCACCTGATGGCCTTCCAATTCTTTAAGGGAAGCAACTTGTCAAAGGTTCTACAATTCTTGACTTCCTTCTTATGTAGTCAATAATGCTTATGAAAATGGCAATTTTATACTGTAGTCTTAACAGTTAGGAATGCTAAAGATAAAGCTGTCATCTGATTACTTTTAGAGTGTTAATGGAAAGTCAAAAAGCATTTATTAAACAATGCTAAATATTATTATTATATCAAATAGAGAGCATACATGATTCAGAAAATTAATAACAGGACGAATCTATATCACAATTAATCAAATAATGTCTTTTTTTTTGTTATATTATATTTTTGCAGCGTCTAACGAATTGGTTTTCCTTAATTTTTATGCGGAATGGTGTCGGTTTAGTAATATTTTAGCGCCAATTTTCAATGAAGCGGCGGATAAGGTAAGCGACAATCAAATTACATATAAATATTATAAAAATAAATACAAAACGAATATACAGACTTAGAAATACAGAGAACGTCATATAACTGAATGGAAAAGAAACTTCAATAGAAATATTCTTGGCTAAATTTGATTTCAATGGTTATATTCTATGCTGAACTTGATAGCAATGGCATAGCAATAGTTGTGGCTGCAAGCGAGGTCTGCTTAAAAAGTTTCGCAAATTCGTCTATTCGTGAATAGCTCGGAATATATACAATGAAATTTAGATCTCACCTGGTTTGCACCTGTTTGGGCATAAACAATGAAACAGCTGGAGGAAAAAAAAAAACAGAAGAAGAATATTAACAAAAATATGTGGGGCACAAAACATTTTAGTCATTTCTGGAAAATTGCGTCTTTTGTTTAATTTAGGCGCTTGTTATCTCAATTCAAGCTGTGTAAACTAACGAAAATGTAGAATTCTTGTCGTCGTCGTTGTTGTTGTTGTTGTTGTTGTTGAATATTTCATTTTTATGAAATCAAATAAATTACAGATTAAAGCGGAATTCCCGGAAGCTGGGAAGGTGGTGCTAGGCAAAGTGGATTGTGATCGGGAAACGGCCATTGCCTCCCGTTTCCACATTAGCAAATATCCCACACTGAAGATTGTGCGCAATGGACAGCTGAGCAAGCGAGAGTATCGAGGCCAGCGATCGGCCGAGGCGTTCTTGGAGTTTGTCAAGAAGCAGCTGGAGGATCCCATCAAGGAGTTCAAATCGCTGAAAGATCTGGAGAATCTGGACTCCAAGAAGCGTAGTATTATTGGCTATTTCGATAGGCGAGATCAAGCCGAATATAATATATTCCGGAAGGTGGCCACCAACCTCAAGGAGGACTGCCAATTTCATGTTGGATTCGGTGAAGCATCGCAGGCAATGCATCCACCTGGTACGTGTCGGAAATACTTGATGGTATACACCCAGTCAATTGATCAAATTTAACTCTTTTAGGCACACCCATTATCGTCTTCAGACCTGATGTGGCCTTGTCGCACGAAAATGATGAAACCTATACGGGCAGCCTGTCCAATTTCGATGAGCTGAAGGTGTGGATACAGGAGAAATGTGTGCCGCTCGTCAGGGAGATCACATTCGAGACCGCTGAGGAGCTAACGGAGGAAGGACTGCCGTTCCTGATTCTGTTCTACAAACCCGATGATCTAAATTCCATCAAGGATTACAAAGCAATCATCGAGCAACAGTTGATGGATGAGAAGCGTACGTTGTTTGCTCGACATTTGATTTGATCTCCTCTATCAATTAATAATTGTATTTGTTTATCCCATGCAGAGAATGTCAATTTCCTAACTGCGGACGGCAAACGGTTTGCGCATCCGCTACATCACTTGGGCAAATCCGAAGCTGATTTACCGGTCATAGCCATCGACTCGTTCAAGCACATGTACCTCTTCCCCCACTTCAACGATATGTATACGCCCGGCAAGCTAAAGCAATTCCTGCAGGATCTTTACAGTGGGAAACTGCACAGGTATGCAATAATTAATGAACTATATGCATACATAGAGATATCTAATTCTAACTTCTTGATTGCAGAGAGTTTCATTATGGGCCGGATCCCACAAGTAATGAAATCCAGTCGGACAATGGTAAGGGTACATCGCCGCCCGAGTCTAAATTTAAAGAGCTGGGCCCATCGAAACACCGTTATACCTTGCTGGAAAAAGATGAACTGTAATATTACAAATGTATATTCATTTAAATATAATTATTAAAATTTTATAAAATTCAAGTCAAATGTTAATCGTCTGTTTTATGACGCAGCTAACACTCCAAATCAAATTTCTCTCAGTGTGTGTGTCAGTTAGTGGCACCGTTTAACTATAAATAAATACATATTAATCGAGAGCCAGCTCATCAGGAATAATAGTTTATTAATGTCCCATTAAAATTGAACTTTGAAATGATAAATTTACCTAAATTTTATTTGTTATTGTTTTCATTTTAATGTGGAGCTCAGTTTATGCACATGTGTAAGTATATATGTATACGGAGTTGACTTTTAGCAAATATATGTATGTATAATTTGCCGAGTTTGATCATATTTGTATGTGCAGGAGAGTATAATATTGTAGCAGGCAGTCCATGCTGACTCTAAGCCTAGCAATTTAGGTGCAATACCTTCATCTCGCTCCATTTTGTGTTTGTTCCCCTCTCTTTCTCGCGGTTTATCTCTTCCTCTCGCTCTCTCTTTAGGTGTATGCCTACCTCTCTCTTCATCTTGTACGTATTCGCCTCCTTCTCACTCTCTCTCAAGTATATGCCTCCCTCTCACTCACTCCCTGTCTCTATAAGTATGACCTTTCCTCTCACTCTATTTTTATTAGTATATGCCTTCCTCTCGCTCTCTCTAGCATATGCTTTCTCTTTAAGTATATTTATCCTTCTGTCTCTGTCCCTCTAAACATATCCTCCCTCTCAGTATATCTATCTCTTTCTAGTACGTGCGTGATATTTTAAGCAGATTGCCTTAAAATCCACTTGGCTCTCTAGAAATTTAGTTTCAGAAACCGAATCACTGAACCCATATTGTAAAACATATATATAATTTCTTTTTTTTTTTTCATTAATTTTTATTTGTATGTATCTATTACAATTATGTTTTTGTTTTTGTTTTTTGTTTGTAAAATTAGATTACATATACATATTATAATATGCTAGAGTCAAAACGAGTGATAAAATGCTACAGTTTGTAACAAGTTCTGAAATCGGAAATCAATGGACAAATGACTTGAATGCATGATCTGCATTGTGGTTGTTTTGCTTGCTGCTGTGGTTGTGGTTGTTGTTGTTGTTGTAGTTGTTGCAGTTGTTGTAGTTGTTGTTTTGACTGGTGAGGGGGTAAGGGAGTTGGGTAGGGAAGAGAGAGTGGGGCGTAATATAAAAGTACATTTAAAATTGAGTACTTGCTATGTTGTATAATTAATACGTAAGTTAGAAAAAATAGTTTTGCATGGCATGCAGCATCCTTAATATGGTCTGGAGCGCATGCCACCCTCGTTACGCATGGCGCCACCATCACGACGGCCACCGCCGCCGCCACCTCCGCGACCGCGTCCACCGCCGCCGCCGCCTCCGCCGCCACCACCATTATCATTGCCGTAACGTGAGTATCCACCGCCACCTCCGCCGCCGCCACCACTGCCTCTGTCTCTGTTTTGGTAGCCACCGCCGGAGCCGCGATCATTGCCACGATCATTCATATTGCCATAGCCGCCGCCGCCACCACCGCCGCCGCCGCCGCCACCTCCTCCATAACCACTATTGCCACCAGAGTTGCCGTCATCATCACCCTTTGGTGTTTTGCAGCTAAAATAAAGGGATTTCATTGAGTCCATGATGCAATGCGTCATGTTTAACGTCGTCTTACCGATTGCACTCGTTGCGCCAAGCAAAGTTTGTGTTGTTGCAGCTGCTGCATTTCCAATCTCCATCACGAGGCTGGACATTACCACCAGCACCGCCGCCACCGCCACCGCCGCCGCCGAAACGACCGCCACCACGGCCACCGCCGCCGCCGCCGCCACGATCGAAGTCACCGCCGCCGCCGCCTCCACCGCGATCGAAACGACCGCCGCCGCCGCCACCACCGCGATTGCGTCCACCGAAACCGCCGCGACCACCGCCACCGCCGCCTTTGCTCCAGTTGTTCTGACGCTGGGCCAGCGAGACTTTGATTTGGGCACCATTGAAATCGTTGCCATCGAACCACTGAATGGCCGACTGAGCCGCATTCACATCATCATATGTGACAGTGGCCTCGCCCTTCGAGGTGCCCGTCTCCTTGTTCTTGTACAGCCAAATCTTTGGCTTCATGGTGCGCTTGTCCTTCTGCAAGCGGTAACCAACAATGATTAGGTATTTACAATGCTAAGCATATGCCGTCTTCACTTGCCTTTATGATGCCAATGGCTCCGAAATGGGTCTCAATGTCCTGCTCAGTGGTGGATGGATCCATGCCCGATACGAAAATTGTATCTTCCTGTGTGATCATATCGTTGCCTCCACCACCACCGCCGCCGCCGCCGCCGCCTCCGCTGTTATTGTTACCACCATATCCTCCTACAAAACGAAAAATTGCATTAGAAAGGCCGACAAACGACAGACAAGTTTAGAAGTTGAGAAACGGATGAAAAACCCTTAGATCGATCGAAGTGTGGAACTGCTGGACACTCGTATCAACATTACACGCATCATATCAATTTTAGGGCAGCAACAGTGCTGTGCACACACTCGCTTAAACTCTATATATAGATATCTAGTTAAGGGTATATATATATATAAATATATGGAGGACAACTCTTGCTCTTCATCTAGATGATAGATAGATAATCTTATAAGGTATTGCTTTGTATTTGAAACCAGAATTTCAACAGAAACACCTCTAGAACTGTAAATATATATATATAAACACCGATTTTCGTTTGTATACCTTTACTTTTACTCGTATTACCTATAGATATTACTTAGGATTGAGCTGCTGTCTCAAACAGATGTGACAAGTCGCTAGGAATATTATATAAATATATGTAAATATATTGACGCAACACAGAACCGTACGTACACTCACTCACACACACACACACACGCACACACACACATACACGTACGCTCTTACACACATTATACCAATAGCCCTATGTATTTCGTAACCAGGATAAATCAGTGATCAGTGACCAGAACCAAGATAAACATAACCCTTGACCCAATCACCCCGGGCCGCATATTGAACTTAATTGTTTAACGTTCGAATATACACACTTAAACACTCAGCTTGGCATAGAAGCTAAACAACTCGAAATGACGAAGCTTTGAACTCATTTTACTTTTGTTATTTTTGATTTTTTGTATTATCCTGTTGTTATTTGGTTTCTTTCGCGTTTTTCTTTTCTTTTTTTTTTTAGACTTAAGTACCAGAAATTTCGAGCGAAATATGTTTACTCTTCTGCTCTCTAGTTTTTTGTATAGTTATTATTAATTTGTTGTTTGATTTGTAGTAAATTAATGTTATACATTACTCGATATGGTTGCAAATTGTTTTGCATTATTTTACCTTTGTTGTAGTTGTCCTTGCTGGCGCCTCCATTTCTAAAAGAGGATATTGAATAACTTATTTAATGTTTTTGGATTTTGATGGTTGTTTTTGTTTTGTTTTTGGATTGGAATGCATTATGATGGAAGTTAACGCCCACGAACGTCTCCGCTAGTATCATCGTACAACAACATGTGACTATATACATACATACGTACATATACACACACATACATGCAGGTATGCATGTGTGCAATGTTAACTAAATCAATTATTTAAACATATAAAAAGGGTTTCATGACCTTTACCAGCGCACTTTGATGCGCATCCAATAATTCGACGATCGAGCGACACTCGAAGTGATCTGGTAAATAATCATCCATTGGAACAGAAATGTCTACAACTTTTAAAAGCTAATTAACTAGTTTTACTTAAATATTGAATACGTCTGTGCCACCCTCGAATTTACATATTACATTTATAATGAGCGGCGTTTGCCTGGATTTAGTCAAAGAAAACGTATTTAGGGCATACAGCTTTATCGGTGCACCGAGGCTTCACTGTAACCATGCAGACAGTTGACGCTTCCCTCGCGCGTCAAATATTTCAAAAATTATATTTTCAAATTACATAGTTCTTATAGATAGCATGATTATAATTTGTTTAAAATCATTTATATTTTTTTATATGACTTGTTTCTTTTTTTTTTAGATATAAATCGTCGTTAATCTATTCTTGGCTCTGCATGGATACATTTTTCATTCATTTTTAAGCATTTCAAATTCCGAAGAACATACATATATGAAACATATCTCGAAATAAACTACATTTGTTTTCATTTTAGAGTAACCAAAATACGAAATTGCTTTCTTCAATATTATATACACATATATAACCCCTATATATCATTCAAATTTACTAAATCAGCTTAAATTATTGGTCGTACACAAAATTTTGCTAGAGCTTTGCTTTTTCTTTTTATAGGAATTGCATAATAATAGAAAAGCACACAAATTTACAAGAATTATTTTAGCTACTTATCTCTAAAATCATTAAAGCTTAACATACCAATAGTTAGAAACATGTACATATATTTATTATAACTATATTGATTGTGACTGTGATTAAGCATTGATTACACACAAATTGTGATATTCAAATACTAAGCGAATAAATATATATACATATATATAAATATATATATATACTTACACATTATATTTGTAAACCAAATCTTAACATAAAACATGTACGTATTCAATATAAACTACTTTATACTTATTTTGTATTATCCAAAAAGCGCGCAAATATGACAACTTTCCAGTTACGATCTAATTTGAATGTGACAATCGATAAATCAACAATTGATTGCTGCGACTACGACTAGGTTTAAAAGTGTGCTCAACATGGCAAGTGTTATACGACCACCCCTTCGTGTATAACAGTTGTGATTTAAACGGCTTCAACTATTACAAATGCCAGTGATTAATTCCATCAATATTTTGCTTAAAGGCTTAAAGTATAACGCAGTTTTAGATGAATGATCTATACGAAATATGCAGAATGTGTGCTCAAATAATGAATTATTTGCCGGTTTCAAAAAGGGAGAGCGAGTGAGAGTGCGGCAATTTCCGAACGTATGAGAGAGCGAGTAAAATCGATCCCATTCAATATGCTGGAAGGCATCCGTCTCAACAATTCGGGAGAGAATATTTGTAAATCATGTTACAAGCCGCATCGAGCAAATCAACCTTTTCGTTCACCATTTAATTTAGCTTTAGATCAAAGCATTTCATATAGATAGTATCATTAAATGTTATTATATATCAGTAGTACGTATACATTCAGATAGACCATTCGAGGATCAATTCAGATTTGTAAATCACTCTCCTCATCGCTCTGTAATTATCAATTAACGATCTGTACACAATGTAGGTGATGGCATTTTAAGCTTTGGAACATCTTGCATATACAACCATACATTAATTATATATCTATATACATATATGTATATGGGGAAACCATTTTGATTCGTTTTCATTATATTTGTACTTAGTACTTTTAATTTCAACTTGGACACATAATTCATTTCATTAGTGAAGACCAAATGTACATCATTATAGTTCAATGTGCGTTCGAATAAAATAAATAATAATTTTTCTTTCATGTTAGATACCAGCTTGATTCTAAATGTCCTTGCATTATCTAGTTTAACACGATAATACGAGTTTTTTAATTTTGTATGCGACATGGCCTTTAAAATATGTATATATAAATAACAATATTTGCTCTACTTTATTACGATAAACTCACAAGGATACTTTCTCTCTGTGCTTCTTCTTGGCCAATTCATTTAAAGTCCAATTTGTGAAAAAAAATTTCATATTATTTGCAAAATTTGGTTAGTTTTACTTTTTTTTTTTCTTACGATATTTTCGTATTCGTATGTATGCTCGATTTTTAATTTTTATTATTATTATTCTTTTTTTTGGTCTTTTGGAATTCTTATTTGGCAACACACTCTGAATTTGTAATACTCGTAGCCACATTGTACACTATCCCCATTGTATTTTAGTAGAATCATAATAATAATAACATACCCGTAAGAATTTCCTCTATCGTTCCATGATCCACCGCCACCGCCGCCGCCGCTGCTGCCACCGCCACCACGATGGCCTGAATCATAACCTTAAAGAAAAATATTGTTGTTTTGCTGCAAGCTATTTGGATTAAATTTTCGAATAGTACTTACCTCCGCCTGGCTTGTTATAGTTTGGAGGGGGCTCGTTATAGTTACCACTTTTATTTGGCATTTGCTGGTAATTTGGCGGAGGAACAGCAAAATTATTATACTGCCCGGCTCCACCGCCGCCGCCGCCGCCGCCACCACCACCACCATAACCGC